TGATGTACTGGACCAGTAAATAATGCACAGCCTTCTGTTTTCCTTGCATGTTGCAGCTTTATAATGGACTAGGAATAAGGCTCGTTGTGAAAATAAATACAATGAGATATAGAAAGAGGCCCTGGGAGAGTGCCCCGGCTTTGGGCAAACAGTGTCAATTTGCTGTGGCGACCTCAGCAGAGTATAATGACAGAGTCCATGAGCTCTGTTACCTGAAGAACAGTTGTAATTTTGAGTGATCTCCAGCCCTCACCTGGAGATTGGCAAAAATTGTTACCCAGGATGAAATGGCTGGTTTGGAGGGTGGAGTCTATGGCATTCTACGTGTCTGAGGTCCCACCCCTCCTCAAACCCCACCCTCTCCAGGCTCCACCCCTCAAATCCCCAGGAATTTGCCAGTCTGGAGTTGGTAACCCCATCTCCTTCCCAGCTAACCATCAACCTACCATTATCTGCCCCTTTGACTTCAGCTGACTTCTGCCCTCCCTTCTGCAGAGCAGTTGTAATTCTGAGTGGTCTCCAGCCCTCACCTGGAGATTGGCAACAATGGTTCCCCATGAGGGACTGGCTGGTTTGGAGGGTGGAGTCTATGGCATTGTACCTGTCTGAGGTCCCACCCCTCCTCAAACCTCACCTTCTTCAGGCTCCATCCCTCAAATTTCCAGGAATTTCCCATCTGGAGTTGGCAACCCTATCAGGACTGGCCCCAATGTGTTTTCTCCCAAAGGCCAAAACAGGTGACAGGACCAAGCTTAGTTGCCTACCAACAGGCACTGAGGGGGAAGTAGGGTTGCCAACTCTAAGTAGGGAAATACCTGGAGATTTGGGGGGTGGATCCTGTGGAGGGCAGCATTGGGGGGGGGCAGAAGGACTCAGCAGAGTATAATGCCATAGGGTCTACCCTCCAAAGCAGCCATTTTCTCCAGGGGAGTTTTAACAGTGGGAAAACTCCAGGTCCCACCTGGAGATTGGCAACCCTAGGGAAAAGTCAGCTGCACAGCAGGGGGTTGAAGAGAATGGTTTGATGGTTGCTGGGCCAAGATTAGCAACAATAGTTCCCCAGGAGGAAATGGCTGGTTTGGAGGGTGGAGTCTATGGCACTGTACCT